GGTAAAATCGTTGAACACTAATAGTTTCGTCTGGGGCTGGCTGCATGGACATTTTCAGAGTTTTCCCTCTTTTCCAGCTAATTTGCTTTAAGAAGTCCTCCATTAAGGTATTTCTCTCCTTGACCCTCTTTAACACAGATCCTCACACGGAAATACTGGCTTATGCCGATGACTTTTTGCTGGTAACCCAAAGGGCACAGCCGCAATGCATATGAGACTAAGGCACAACAAGCAATGGACAAGATGGCCAAATGGGCCAATGACCATAAGTTAACTATTGCCAACTCAAAAACCCAAGGTATGCTTATCTGTCCAGGTAAGCGCCATCGAAGAACCCCGTGCATCCAACCATCATGGGAAAATATTAAAATAGTCAGAAACTTGAGGTACCTTGGAGTTATAATTGACGACACATGGGACTTGGATGCCACATTTAAAGGAGGTCAAGGTACGACTTCACAGGATATTTCATTCCATGCTCAGAACAGCAGCACCAACATGGGGAGTTTCTTTCGAGGATGCTTAAAACGTGGTACTCTGTAGTTGCTGAACGTATTGCACTAACATGGAGCCTCCATGTGGGGCATAACGATCACTACTAAAATGGAGAATCTGCTACGCTCAGCACAAAGACCATTCCTCCTGAGCATTACCCGAGGATATAAAACCTCGCCCACTAATGCTCTAAACGTGATTTCAGGACTACCGCCTCTGCATCTCTTAGCGCGAGAGTGCAGTAGTGCGAGTGCTCCGACTCAAAGAGACAATAAGTTTATGGGATAGGACTTATGTTTATACTGACTATGAGCAAAGCATTCCCGAGCCACCTTGCCACCCGGCCGAATTCAATATCTTGATTAACTGCAGGTCACCAATGTGGTTCAACGCCACTGCAATCTACACCGATGGTTCCAAAGGAGAATGTGGCACCGGTAGCGGATACTGTGTTCTACTTGGGAACCAGATCTTAAAGACCTGGGAAAGAAAGCTTAAGCACCACAACTCAGTTTTTCAGGCTGAACTGATTGCCATTAAAAGCTGCACTTGTCTATGCACTGGAAAATAACTATTCCAGTATATATTCAGACTCAGCCCTCTAGCCTCCAGGGAATCCAAGGCAAATGTAGTAAAAATCCACTTGTCAGGGCCATACAAAAACTCTTACTAAGAACATCTAAATACTATAGGCCTGAACTCCAGTGGGTACCTGCCCACACTGGAATACTGGGTAATGAAATTGCAGATGCAATAGCCAAAAGAGCAGCAACTGACCCCCACGTTCGCACACTTGACGTGCCTCTCCCGGGTTCGTTCTTAAAAGCTGAGCTCGAGAGAGAATTACTCAAACGTTGGCAACACCTGTAAGAGACAGAAACCACCGGCAGAAGAGTTTACAGATTTTTTCCAAAAGTCTGCCGGCTTCTAAAATCTGGCTCGTCTCACTTCACTCAGTATCTAACAGGACATGGTCCCTTCATGACTTACCTGCATCGCTTCAGACAAGGTGAAGACGAGCATTGCTCATGCGGGATGGTAGGAGATCCGGACCACTATCTGTTCGCTTGCAGAGAGACCGCTAAATATCATCTTAGGCAACCAGTAGCAAACGACATCCATGCATGGGCCGAAGCTACTTCAAAAAATCGCAATGCATTGAAACGCATATGCGATTGCATAAACATTGCATTGCACGCATAATCTCAGACAGGCTGGAGTAATCTGAGCCACCATCCTCGTCACCAGCACAGCCCCTGTATGCTCTGTACCTGTAGCGAACTAATTTTATCTTAAGTTAGCTTATTCGGCTTTTCTTATTCCCTGTATATATTTATCTTCTTAACTGTAAACCTTGAATTATGAACCTTGAACTATGTATTTTGCCTTATTTTATGTATTGTTTCCACTGTTTTGCCTTTTTTTATTTTATGCATTGTTTTACTTTCTAGTTTTTTACTTCTTATTACTTTTAGTATTTGTAACCACCTATCCATTACTCTGTAAATATGTAACTGGAATTGTTCTTCACGCCCGCAATGCACCCTTCTTCCATCATGCACTATCGTCTTCGTCCAGCATTTGTTTGCACTGCCCCCAGCAGTCGTCTTGAGCACAATATGTATTTATAAGTGTGTCTTTTGTTCAAGTTATTTCCGTCAGCGGGGCTACCTGGCCGATATGCTAACTACCCAGTGGACCGGCTGCCTCGCTGTCGGTGGAAAGAAAGAATGCCCTCAGGGCCTTTGTCGTAATCAAATAAACCAAACCTTTTGAAGTAGTTGATATAAGCAATGGAAACAGTCGTCAATTATCCTTTCTTTTGATTTTAAATCATTATTTAATAGTGTATCATATGAGGGAGCATTAAAATGTTTTTAAACCAGATTTTGAATATTGTATTTCATATAAACTGAAATTGTTGAGTTAATTTCTTTTACTAACGTCTGTGCCAAACTCTTTTTTTATTTTTCAAAATTAATATTATCGCCAAATTGAAGGATTAGGTATGTGTAAATTCCCTGTCCTGTATTTGCTGACATTTACATGTACTATCGAGGTTAAATTATTTGACAAATTATCTTTTCAGCTCTGGATTTGTTCCTTTGACGAAATTGATGTTCCTCCAACAATGCTGATATAACCCATTGATGCCCCTTCCAATAATAAAGAATTAATGAAGGTTTTATGTATTATGAACTCGATTCATCCAACTGTTCTATTCTCTTTTGAAACTGGTTCTGAGAATTCTCTTCTTTACCTTTTTATCCACATTAAATTTGATTTTAGCACTACTGTTTGTTCACCTTAAACCATTTTCTGTTTGTTAGCCTCTTTGTGCTAAATCATAGCATCTAGCCAAAAAACCAATTTGCTTCTATTTACTTTTATTTATGCCATGTTTTCAAAGTTTGTTCTTGAGAATTTTTGCTTCCTCATGAATTCAGTTATTTGAAATTGGTTGCTATTGACCGAGGGTTTTCTCCACACAAAAAGTACAGATTTTATAGTACAAATAATAGTAAATTAATTTGAAATGGTGAAAAGAATAATACATATAATATTTACATAAAAATTTAAAACCAATAATAAAAACCACCAACATGAAGTGTAAGATCCATACTCATTGGAACTTTGCTGCCGATTTCAGATTTCGAAAATTTCTAGATTTTAGATCGTCAGTTTAAATATAAAGAGATGACATATAGAAATTATAAAATTATCGTGATACATAAAATTCTGTAAGCTTTCAGATTTTATATTAAGCTCAAAGGGGTTTGCACTTAAACCGTAAAATTCAGTTCAACAGCAATATCATAAAATAATTTTAAAATGAGCATATCTTAAAAATTTCTGACACACAGTCTCGCATGCCGGAGATAATTTTTTTTCTTTTTCTTTTTTTCTGTGCAGTGTTGCCATTGCTCGCTTTGAAACCATTGAGTTTGTTAATCAACAATTTGTTAAAGGTGTACAAAATATGAAATTTATAATAAAACAAATTCCAAATTAGGGCTTCCAGATGCCCATATTCGGTGGAGGATTATGTTATTCAAAATTTGATGGCTCTAGGTATCGGTGTTTTATTACAATGCGAGAAACTACATACATTTATTCAGATTCTTCATTATTTAATTTCTTTTAATGTAACACAGGGGGATAATATTTGGCGCCAACAAACTGAAAAGTGAATTTTTAACAATCTAAAAAGGGAATTTAAAGTTTCAGCGCAAAATGCCAAAATGAAATTAATAGCCCTTTGGGTGAAAAATATCAAATAATGGAGCATTTATAATCTTAAGGGATTCGAAATTTACAAAGAAAGTTTGGCATTTATCTGTTTTTTTTTTATTAAACATTTCTTTCAATACAGATTGTTAAAGCTGTTTCGTTTTTTCTGCTAATACATTCTCTTTAATTTTATAGATAGACATAAATTTGTTATTCAGTAACCAAATTCCATTTTTCAACGCCTCTAAATGCCATATTGAGAATTCTCACTAAATTGTCAGTGAAATTTTGTTTTCAGCAACCACTCTGTCAGTGTTTTCATTATTGGTAGCAATAGTTTTTGGACTTAGAGCCATTGTGCAAGTTTCACTGCTGTTAGTTGATTGATGATCAGGCATTGTCATCACAGAGAAAATATTTGTTATATCATCTTCATTTATTAACACTACATATTTTTTCTCAAATTCTATTTATTAGAAAATTTAGCTTTTTGTTTGTAATATTCGAAAACCTTCAAATTCGTGGCTATCATCATAGAGCTTAGCTAGTGCCCACTATACACTATTGGCGAGTATCATGAGATTGGTGACTAAAGGCATATTGTTCCACTAAATTTTGTCTTGCTTCTATCTTGCATTAAGCCTGAAATATATTAGTTTGTTGTTAATTGTTGTTAATTAGGTGACACCTTCTTTTTAATCAAATTTATTCAAATACATAGAATGCCAACTCTCTCATGGCTGCTTGCCCCCCCCTTAAGTCCTACTATGCTGCCTCACCGTGATGGAGGTGTCACTGGGTGGGATAAGTGAAGTACATCTGGAGCCTAGCTCCTGGTAGGGCCACCCTAGGCATGAAGGCCATTTCAATATGCCAAGCTAAAGCATAGCAGGTGCAGACCCTTCAGGGGATTACCTTCTGGGTGATCAGGTGTCTCAATCCTGGAGCCCCAGTGACTTTACCTCTTATCTTCTCTATTGTGGTTTCTAGGATGGGGCTTATTGTGTGATGCAGTTACTACTCTTTTGTTTTTGTTTCACCATGGTGAAAAAACTGTCTACACGTTTGCCATGCATGGAGACCAGTATGGTGTCATGCATTGAGACCACTTATTGGAAAACAAAGTGTTCTAAATAAATAATGCAAAAGAAGTGATTAAAAAAATGTATTCCCCGCCTCTATTTGCTTTTTTTCTTCTTTTTCAATTTGTTATTTCATTTTTTTGTCTTTTACTATACGAAGAATTATTTAAAATTACGAAACTCTAATTTCAGATGATGGAGACTGTATTGGAACAAAATCTTCAAAAACTGGGCAGTATGAATGGCTAAAATACAGTGAAGTAGGTGTCTGATGGATTTTGTATTTATGACATGCATTTTAAAACAAATTTTAATATATATATTTTGTTTTATAGCATCAGTTTTATGGAATATGTGATATTCTTCAGATTTGTCTTTTATTTAAGCACTGCATTATTTTCCCCCAGATAACACAGAATTTGCTTAGATTTAATTTTTTTTAGTGTTCTGGATTAGTTTAGACTTACATTTAATCAACTGTGTAAACTAAACTGAGACATTTTAAATATCTCTTTGTTAAGTGATGAATTTTAAACAATTTTACACTGAGTTTCAAAGGTCTTTTTCTCTTTTTGACAAGTATATATACACATAGAAATGCAGTAGATAATGCAGTAGATGCATTCTCTCCCTAGTTTAGCAAGTTATTCTTTGTGAGCATTTTGTTGAATAAATCACCAAAGTAATCTTTGAATTTATGATCTAAAAAACAATGATTGATTTTTAATAAGTAGTTTCAGCTAATTAGTAGTTATTCTTATTCAGATTTTGCACATATATTAAAACAAATGTTATTTCAAATATCTGCATAAAATTAAAATAAATAAATCAGACAATTGCTTAGTTTGTGATCCAAATTGCTTCTTGAATTTAATATATCTTATGTCAGGAAATGCTTTCTCTTAATCTAAAGTATTGTCTGTGCATGTTAAGCTGATGCCTGTGATGCACATTGGTGAAGAAACTAGTGTATTTGCAATATAGGGTAGTTCAGTTTGACTGAGATGCAATCAGTTTATTTCAGGTTTTGGTTAGAACTTGCTGCAGTCTCTTGTTTTAATGACATGTCAGAATGCTTCATGCAAGAAACTACTTACAAGAAAGAATGCTAGTGTTAATATGCAAGTGTTAATACAAGAAAGAATGCCAGTGTTAATACAAGAAAGAATGCCAGTGTTAATATGCAAGTGTTAATACAAGAAAGAATGCCAGTGTAGTGTTAAGAAACTACTTACAAGAAAGAATGCCAGTGTTAAGTGTTAATATAGGGTAAATCTTAGAAATATTCCTCTTTATTCCCCTTAAAATTGAACTTTCGTGGTGTGTTTCCAACTAGAGGTCTAAGATTGGTGGGGGACTATACTCCGTACTTCCTATCAGTGCTTTAAAACTTTCTGGAGGTAAGGAGAATGAAAAACTTTTAAAGCTACAAGTTATACTAATATGACTTTTTCATATTTTAAAAATGCTATATTTCACATTTAAAAGTAAGTTTATTAAGTCATTATTTGAGATAGACCATAATTATCTGTATATAGAAGCAAATTTAACTCAAATGTGGAATAAAATTTCTAGTGTATATTAGTTATCTGTTTTTTTACGTGTATGTGAAAGTGCTGATTTCATTTTTACTCACATCTTTCATTCGGGATTGAAATAGATATATGGAAATGAGCTACTGAGTTTATCTTTCTCTAAGACTGGACATAGGCATATATAATTCATGTGTAATTGTTCCAGGTAATTAGCAGTTTCAACATGTATGTTAGCCTTGGCAAAAGCATAAAATATGCAAATCTAAGTTATATAATTCATTGTATTACTTTCATGTATAAGCAATATTTCGAATAACAAATAATACTGATGTATGAAATGATGTTTATAAATTCATGTCCAATAAATTTCTGAAGCTGTTGACAAGGTTTTCCTTGTTTTGTTGTTAGTCAGAAAAATCTAGGTGTATGTCTGCTAAAAAATTATGTATAATTTAATCCTGCTTATAAACCACTTTTTCCAGTTTTCTTTCTTTCCGCACTTTTTCCATCTCTTCAAGCACTTTTAATTTTTAGCTTTTAATTGCAGGTTATTTTAAGGTCGCAATATGTAGGATCTGGATTACTGAAACTTGGTTTAAAACCATGCAATGATACTTTTTTAGGAGTGTTTGCATGCAATAGGGAAGAGGTGAGTTTTCTATTATAATTAAGAACTTCTAAATTTTCATAATTTCTTATGTAAGGAAAGATGTTTTGTAAATATATGTTTGTTAATTTTTTTTTAGTTTTTGTTATCTTTATATGGATGTGCAGCCTATTCTATGGTTTTGATACCTTTATATATATCTCTTGGTGCACAAGCTGTGATGTTTATTTTAAAACAAGGTAATTGAATCCGTTATTGATTTGATTATATCTTATATCCTAAAGCAGTTACTGTTAATATTATTTCCCTTTTTAATAATATTTTCTGCTATTCAAATTTTGAAGATGTTACTATTTAAAATCTATATGGGTAATCAATGTGAAGCAAATTTTTATATGTGAAAAACGCCTTTGCATGTTTGCAGTTGCGGATAAAAATAAAGTTTTGAAGCCATTCCTACTTTCTTTTAAAAATTTGAAAAGAAAAACTGCAGTGTACATTAAATCCAAATTGGATAGTGTTCTTGGGAATTAATCACATTTTTTTTAATCATGTGTTTTTAGTTGTCAAAATTTAATCATGGCAGCACTCGTACAACTGATGAAACATAATTAGGGCATAATTATTGTTTCACTTCTAAATTAATAATTAGGACATCCAAAAATTGCTACTCTACCAGAAATTATGGGTAAAATTCATGACCAGGTTTTATCAAATTGCCAAATAAAATCAGATTAACCTGAAGAAGCTATGAACACTTTTTATAAATAAGTATTGTTATTTTGCAAGAAAGAATGGGTTTAAGAAAACTTTCTGCAAAATGGATTCTTTATTTGCTCAGTCTTGAGCAAAACTGTTTTAAACCTGAACCTTGTGAATATTTAAAATTTTTAAGAGAATTTATCAGGTTTAACAGATGATTTGTTGACTTGGATTCACTACTGCTCACCAGAAACGTAACTGCACTTGAAATTTGCTAACAACAATGATGGCATCAGTTTTCTAGATGCCAAAGGAAATATTTATTAATCATCTTGTAAAAAGAAAAATTGTTATATTTTTGGACCAACTGAAAGTAGCTGTTAATGAAAAACAGCCAGAAATGGTGAAGACAAAGCTCTTTTTTTCGACGTGATAATATTCCTACTCGATCAAGTGGAGTCATACAACAAAAATGATAAAATTTGATATTCTAAGCTGTTTTGCATCCACTGTATTAAACTGACATGGCTCTCTTACACTGTTCCTAAAGTTTAAAACAATCTTGCATGAAAAACATTTTCTTTTTTTTAAAAATAAAATAGTGATTTATGGTATAAATGGGTATTTTAGAGAGCTTGAAGAAAGTTTTTCCAGGAGGGATTTGAAAAGTTAAGAAAATACTGAGTAAAGTGCATTGCATGTCATTTCAACATTGAAAAATAAAATATCAGTTAAATTAAATTTATTTGTTCTTCTTGTTACTCTAGAAACATTATAATTTGCCGTCATATTGTCAAACTAAATCTGTCTAACCCGTCATATTGTAAGCTAAATCTGTAAAATGTATTCCCCAACAAATTACTGAAGGGTAAAACAGATTGCTGTTAAAGATATGTGCATGCTTTTTAAAATAGTTATTTTTAATTAAGGTTACTGTAATGTTACATTTTAAATTTAAAAAGGTTAAAAATGTACACACTCACGCATGCAGGGTGTTTCATAGATCATGGGACAAACTTGGAAGGGTGGTGGAGTGTACTAAAGCATGCATTTTTTTATAGGAATGTAGGGTCTAAAGTGACGGGTTAAGGCAGGAACGCAAAGAAACGACACGAGAGGAAAATGTGTTGATGTACAAAATCAACGTAAAGTGCTTTTTTGTAGCAATACAGTATTCACAATAAATGTTCAAAATTGCGACCACCAGCAGTAATACATGCTTGGTAACATTGCAGAAGGGATTGATAAACATTTTGAAAAACAACAGGCATTTCGCTCACGCTTGCGGCTGCAATGGATAGTTGTGCAACGAGGTCCTCCAGTGAGTCAACAGGAGTCTCGTAAATGATGCTCTTCAGATGGCCCCATAAAAAAAAATCCAAGCTGGACAAATCTGGCAAACGGGGTGGCCATCGAACGGGTCCACCACGGCCAATCCATCGGCCTGGAAATGTCCCATCCAAGTAATTGCGGACCCACATGTAGTTATGGGCTGGTGCACCATCATGCTGGAACCACGTGCTATCACAAAGGACAGCTGGCACATCCTGCAGCGATTCCGGTAGCACCTGTTGCAGAATATGATAACATAAGCCATTTGTACGTGCAAGTAAGAGGTATGGGGCTATGAGGTAGTCGTTAACAATACTCGAACTCACATTCACTGAGAAGCGGGTTTGGAGTGCATGTGGACGTGTGGATTATGAGTTGCCCTACATGTGCTTGTTGTGGATATTGAAGATGGTGTCCTGTGAAAAAGTTGCCTTGTCCGTGAATAGCACATCCAATGGGAAATCTGCCTGCGCCGCACACTGCTGCAAGAACCAATGACAGAAATGAACTCCAAGAGGGTAATCTGTCTTGCAAGGCTCAGACTCTCTGCAAATGGTATGGGTGCAAACCATTTTCATGCAATACTCTCCAAATGGTAGAATGACTCAGCGGCAGACGAAATGTAATAGCTCTTGTACTTGTCTGAGGGGATTCATGCACAATGCTCAAGATGGATTCTTTAATGTGAGGTTGTCGGGCACTTCTTCTATTCCTAGTGTCAGAGGTGGCTTCAAATGACCCGTTTTCACACAGAGACCGATGCAACCTCTCGAACATTGTGTGCTTCGGCATACGTCTGTTCGGAAACTGTTCCTGGTACAGCCGTAGTGCTGCTCTGCTGTTCCCATTAGCAGCACCATACATGAGATGCATGCCAACTTTTTCCCTGTGCGTTAACTCGCCCATCATGCTCGACATCAGAGTTGCGAATGATCATCTGATGCATCGGATTGTGGTAGAGGGCGGCTCACTACTGTCGCATTGCCAGCCAATCACAGCTGTAGTTCCTTACTGTTAGTGTTCCCTTTTTGAACATTTATTGTGAAGGCTGTACTGCTGCAAAGAAGCACTTTACGTTCATTTTGTACATCTACACATTTTCCTCTCATGTCATTTCTTTGCGTTCCTGCCTTAACTCATCACTTTAGACCCTACATTCCTATACAAAAAATGCATGTTTTAGTACGCTCCACCACCCCCTCGAAGTTTGTCCCATGATCTATGAAACACCCTGTATATATGTTTCGAGAAAGAGAGAGCAATCATAGGTTGCTCGTAAATTATTTAAAAATGCATAATAAAAGAGCTCATTTCATATTTTAAATTTGAATGCTTAAAAACTGAAGTAATTTAAATAAAAGAAGTTAAAAAAAAGAACCCAAATTATTCTCTTACAAAATGAAAGAGCCTATTAATACACAAAATAAAAATATGTAAAGCAAACTTCTGATTTTAATTGGCAATAGCGTCTTACATTTTTTATTTTAATTTGGTGTTTACCCCTTTCTGTCCTAAAAATAGTAACTGTTTATAATAAATAAATATAAACTTCATCATTTCAAAATTAATCCGTATCATATGGTCTTACATAATGTTTCGATGCAAGTACATTTTAGCCAATTACAGAATAAGATTTCAGTTGAAACCAAAAATTTTGACATTCTCACAAGCTTTCTGCTTAGTGTGTCACATTTTACCACTTGCTTGATTCCAACTAACACTTTGCACTCTTTTCTCTGTATCACCTAAATATATTTACAATGCATAATAAAATAGGTTTCACATTTTAAACTTAAAATTTTAAATATATATATATATATATTTAAATGAACAAAAAATTAACTTAAAAAACCAGAATCCAAATTATTCTTTTACTAACTAAAAGCTTCAGTCTTGTTTTTTAAGCCTCATGAAAGCTTGCCCGAGTGAAATCTGTAATCTGTTGCAAGCGTATTTCACATTCCACACTTTCTTATCTTTATCCATTAGAAATACTTCGGCTTCCTCCAACAAAATTTCCTGAAAGATTTGTCTGAAAAAAATTATATTTTACATGTATTAGGATTATATTATTTTTAAAATTGTTCCTATATTTCAAATGCTGTTTAATTTATAATTCAGTTTTTTTAATTTAATTAATTTATGTACAGTCTTTGTGCTCATTTGAATTAATTAAAAGATGTTTTCAAAATTTAAGTAAGATATTTTTATTTTAATAATGTAATTTAAATATTATTCTCAGTACAAGGTTTCTTATTTATGTATTGGTTTATGCTAGTGATAAAATAACTTAATTATTCCAGTTGAAAGTGTTTGTTTACATATGCACTTGAACAAATTTTATAAAAAATATCAAATTATTCTTCATGCTTTCATTTTCTATCTTGAGCTTGACTTTTTTATTTTACTGTATAATTAATTTAATTTTGGCAAAATATCTTTTTGATTCCTATCTTATAAGGATTAAAATTGGTGCTGGAGCTGTAGTCTGTTATTTCAATTGTGGCAAAAGTGGAGGCACATGACATGTATAGGCACAATTGTGGCAAAAGTGGAGGCACATGACCTTTCCATTTCTTAGCGAGCAGAAGGAATCGTTGTCTTCTATGACTTAAATGCAGCTCTAAAGGCAATCCTGAATGGAAACTCGCACATCACCAACAGGATCCCCTCTCACCCAAACAAGCTTCAAAATTTAAATAAGGTTTACATTCTTCAATGATTGCCATCACACTTCAACATCACAGGTAATGAGAATGCAGATAAACTGGCAAAAGAGACTCAAAATCTCAACAATAATAACAATGTAAATGTCACGGCCAAATACAGATTGAAGGAACTTTCATTTCCAATAAAGGGCCCACCAGCGGTCGAGCAGTAAAGTCACTGAACACTGGTAGTTCATTCCGAGGTTTGAATCCTGCAGACGGGCTGGCTGCATGGGAATTTTTGTGGTTTTCTTCATGTGTAATGTGTATGCGAGCCAGTTTCCCTTAGAAAGTTCTCCACGAAAGCATCCCTCCCCTTTGGCAGATAGCCCTCGAGGCTTTGCCGTAAACACACACACATAAACATTTCCAATAAAGCACCAGTTCCGTAACATCAATGGAATTGGCCGTTGTCAGACTTAGAACTTGGTCATCACAGAAGATTGGAAATTGACAAAGAGAGTAGGAAAACCTGCAGAAACTGTGATAACTGGCCG